TATGTCATAAAGCAGTCAAATATAACGTTGATATATTATTATCTACATGTCTCTATTCCAGGTAGAACATAAAATTCATAAAGACGTCATTATGACATTATCATGATTTTATTCAACATTTAAAAGTTTTCTAGATATGTCCAGATAACTTTTATGTGATAAATAAAATTGTGATAGTCATAATGACGTCATTATGAATTTTATGTTCTATCTGGGTTTGGATTATTGTTAGTCAAATCAAGACCTTTTTATGACTACTTTTTATATTATACATTTTTATAATAATAAGCAGTTATACAGTCAAGAAACGTATCACATTTTCTAAATATTAAGAAAAAAAATTTTTTTAAAGAAGTCAATATAAAGTCATTTTTAAGTCATCTGAAATTAAGATTTTCAATCATGACCAAAACATGACGTAAATTTGGTCAATTTGATGTCAAATTGACATTATTTTGACTTTTCTGTTCTCCTTGGGTAGTTTATACATATGTTCTGTTGCTAGGCATTTTTTTCATTTTTGGTGCTAGAACGAGGCAAGTCCAAATTAAAAGTGTTAAAATTTCATGTATTTTGAAAGTTTGTTATTATTTGAATAAGTATGCGCTAATTGATAGCTAAGAAAAATATAATGTAAAATAAACTTTCTGAAACAAAATTTGAAAACGGGGGAAAGTTTTTTTCGTTTATCTCAGAAACATAAAATGTGGATTTACCTCTTTCTTGCAGCAATGTCAGCTTCAATTGGTTAATACAATGTAGAGGCCTAACTATCGGGCCTCGCGCGGGATGATGCAGCCACGAGGATCAAAGCCACGAGGATCAAAAATTTCTCTTGTAAGTTAGAAGACACGCCGTTCCCTCAACGTCCCGAACGAAACTTCCCGAATTTTGAAAAGAGACTTGTTTCACGTTGGTTAAACCAGTTAAACCGGCCGCGAGGGAAAGAGTAGGTACATAGGTCTAAGCTCTTCTACCCGGCCGAACTCCGAGTTGGCCGAAGCGCTGGGCGCACACGTACACGGCTGCTCGCTTGTGTGCGTTATCTCCTCTCCAACCACAGCGTGCTGCAAAAGTAGCGGAGTTTTATGCATCACTGATTGTAATTTCAATCTTTCCTGTTATCGCGCGTCATCCTACTTCCCCGGTGATTTCACCACTTGAAAAATGAGCTTTAATATTTTCCTGGATTCATCATAAGTTTCATTTCATTTCGTGTTCGATGTTTATATTAGGTATACTATTTTATCGAGTAATGTACAATGTAGAATAATAAAATAATAGTATAATAACGAAAATGCATGGAAAACTTTATAAAGATTTATTACTACAAAACATTAGTGGACGGTAGAAAATATACATGTATCAAATTATTAAATACAATTCTTAAAATTACCAAATCGATAAGTTTCTTGTAAAGTATTTGGACGGATACACTTAGAGATATGGCTCCGTTGGACGGACGCGAAGGCAGCAATTATGCTTTAATTTATAATGTATATTCAACTCTATCTCTCAAGCCTAGTGTTAACGATGCTAAATCTCGATTCGAGTCCTCAATCCAAGAAATGTATAGCCAATCAATTTGCAACCTTTACGGAAAAAAAAACGACAATTGTATTGGTTTCGTGTTCCTTGAACCAAGTTCTCAGACAGAGAGATAGATCTGCTAGAGCATCGTGAACACAAGACTTTATAGCTGAATTGGATGCGTTAGTTTAGAATTAAGATTTTCCTCTCTATATTAATATTTGTTTTCACCAACGTTGTTCTCTGATATTATACTAGAAAGAGACAAAAGATGATTTAAACTAAGATCAAAGTTAAACAAAGTTGATGAAAACCGGGGGATAAGAGGAAATAAAATAAACTCTGAACTAGTGCAGCCAATTCAGCTACGAAGAACAGACCGAAGGCTTCAGTCATTTGTACTTTTGTATAAATGTATAACTTGTAAAGCATATATAAAACCACTTGATTGATATTTAGAATATTTCCTTGAAAATATTAGCGATATACATATAGCAGCGATAAAATATACTAATTTTAATACATATGTGTAAATATTGCCAATTGATAAAATGTGCTATATCAGATTCGTCTATCAGATCTCTATTTTCGTTCGTGATCTTGACACGAATTTTTACTCAAGTATTCGTGTATATAAAGCATGCAGCTCGCGTACTTATCTACCAAACGCGAAAGTGAACGTAATCATAACTATCGTAGCGAATAACGAGTAACTTATCGCGGACGCGCCCGCATTGCAATCTACGATTCTCCTAGCTCTCATAAAATCCTGCCCGAGGTACGCGCTGAACTCCCGCTTGTTTGGCGGGATTACCACCAGCTGCTGAGTGGCGTCCTGAAAGATGAGATCGCTGTAAGGCGGCGGGCTGTAATACATGCTAAAGCTGAACTCGTCCTGCTCCTTTCGGCCGTAGAACTGTTGTGCGTATATAAATAGATTGATGTACGCGTTGATCTGCGTCTCGTTATAGCCATAACCGCCGCGCGTGACTATAGCATTGGCGGCAACCTTGCCCAGGTTGCAGTTGATGTAGTCCGAAGTTGGGCGGCGCGTACCATCTGGGCAGAGCAACTGGAAGTCCTTCGTGAAGGTGTTGCGCGCCCAGAACTCCCTGCGCTTGCCATCGGTGTTCTCTGCAACCGTCGTGTGCTTCACAAAGGACACGTCGCCACCGCCCTCCACCAGACATCTAAAGGCACCTGTGTGTCCGAAATAATCTTCGGAGGCGTCTCTTCGGCAGTAGCGGTAGCTCACTCCGTGGCACAAGTCGCACATGTTATCGTAAGGCACGCCTACAAACGATAAATACTCCATCAAACGAAAGAGAAGTTTCGCAGACGCAATTATCTTATGAAGGGTATTTGGTTGTCTTTATCAGTTAATATTACTTTGCTTCGTGAATTTTCCAAGTTGCCAGTTTAGAAAAGTTACTAATTGCAATTCTTTAGAACTTTCTTCAGCTACCTGTATTGTATTCACTGCTGAGCGCGCCCGGCACGCAAGACTTGCTGAAGTATTCGGCGGCGGCGCGCACGGAGTCGCAACCGTATCCCCTGATCCATTTGTTTGAGATGAGATACGCCAGCGGGTAAACCCATCCCGCGGCTGTATTGATTCCAGTGTGACAAGTGTATTTGTTCTTGAGATATGTCAAGTCTGTGTTGTCGTCCTCCTCCTTTGCAACAGCAACAACGTAATAGTCCGGTGTACCCAAGTTGTACATCTCGGATATAAATGGAATCAGGCCGAACCGCAGTCCAGCGGAGTAGACGTCACTGGCATCTAGTACAGTCACATCGGCGATCCTGCCATAAAGGAGATAAAACTTATATCACCGCCCGTAATTTTATTTTAAGGATTTCAATGTAACGTTTAATATTTTTTACGCACCCGCTGCGTATCAACTGCATGCAGTTTATTTGGCTGCGACCCCTGTGACAAAATAAATCTGGTTTCAAGAGCTGGGCTTTTAAGGCAATCTGCAACAGCAAGGATATTAAAATTAGTATGTTTAAAGCAACTTAAGA